TTGTAGTTAGACACTGTTGAACCCAAAGCCATGCAAGTTAATAAAAGCAAAGCAAGTTAATGAAAGATAACATCACCAGCCCTGAACATTACACAACATCAGTGGATATTATCACAAGGTTTTAAATGAGAACATTCATTGCCACTTCTACAACATTACATTTAATATTACACACATTAATGCTCGTAGTGGACGTCGCTACCTGAGCCAGACCATCCTGAATCAGTAATTAGTGTTGGAGTGTGTTTAAAGGTTCAGATCATGCGTCTCTAATGAGTGTGTCCTTGTTATTGCAGGATGGTAGGGTGGAGAAGGTGTTGAGGCCACATTGCAAAATCACGACACACTGTGGTATAAATCATGCTTCAGTAAATATGACATAAGGCATCAACACGTGAGACAGAGAAGAATGTTAGACTTCGGACAATTGAACCACAAGACACCTAACCTAACCAATCATCCAACACTCGGGAGCATTGTTGTGGTCCAGCCTGTGCTCTATATAGAAGTAACTACCGAAGGGTGACCAGGGAGAAACAAGTTATCTGACCTGATCCAACTGTATACAACACGACTCTGGGTCCTGGGTGTAGATGTTCCCGTTCGGATTAACTCGACACTAATCAAAGATCGCTCCTGGTTTGAGAGCGGACTACAGGCTGTAATGTTAGCCTTCAACGAAGATACAGTATTTGCTTTACAGTTTGCCCATGAAAATCGAGACAGAGGCCATGCATCTAGCAAAAGCTGTAAAAATTGTCAGATGAGAACTCGTGAACAAGTAGGTAGTTAATCAAAGACCTACTGTTCTAAGGAGTCTAATCCTAACTGGAATACCATAGACCCGGATAGACATTAGGGAGCAATCATTAGAGAAGCATCAACCATGATAATCTGAACTCATCATTCTCAATGCGATAAAGGACAAAAGCTACAAGCCCACCAAACGATGTTCTCTCAATGCCACAGACATATTGAGATTATTCCAGTAACCTTGGATGGCCTGGCACAACATAAACAGAGAGATTCATATCAAGCTGGACATGTCTGGGGGCAGAGCATCAGGCCATTTAGACTCTACCAAGACCAACTGATTGATAATGGCAGCAAGCAATTGGTGGGAGTTCACAGTATGGACATTACTCCCCTGAGACGTCCTAATGGTACCAAGAACTGAATCCTTGTGGCTGCAGAAGAGACTGTAGAGGTCTATGCAAATGAAGAAATGCCAGCCTTCCATGTACCACACTCTGTACATATGCAGGGTCGTGATGCTTAAAATGGCCGTTAACACCATGAAATATTGAAAATGGCGTCAAGGATGGAGGTTTTGAGTCAATTGTTGGGCAAAAATATTTATAATATTAAGTTTTGATTGGCGGCCATTTTTAAATCCAAGATGGCCGCTCTCAGAGACCAGATACAACTGTGGTCCTGATTTTATATAATTCACCTTGCTACTAGCTCACCATGCTATTACCTCACCATGCTATTACCTCACCATGCTATTACCTCACCATGCTATTAGCTCACCATGCTATTAGCTCACCATGCTATTAGCTCACCATGCTATTAGCTCACCATGCTATTAGCTCACCATGCTATTAGCTCACCATGCTATTAGCTCACCATGCTATTAGCTCACCATGCTATTAGCTCACCATGCTATTAGCTCACCATGCTATTAGCTCACCATGCTATTACTCACCATGCTATTACTAGCTCACCATGCTATTAGCTCACCATGCTATTACTATTAGCTCACCATGCTATTAGCTCACCATGCCTCACCATGCTATTAGCTCACCATGCTATTACTGCTCACCATGCTATTAGCTCACCATGCTATTAGCTCACCATGCTATTAGCTCACCATGCTATTAGCTCACCATGTGCTCACCATGCTATTAGCTCACCATGCTATTACCTCACCATGCTATTACTCACCATGCTATTACCTCACCATGCTATTACCTCACCATGCTATTACCTCACCATGCTATTAGCTCACCATGCTATTACTTCACCATGCTATTAGCTCACCATGCTATTACCTCACCATGCTATTCACCATGCTATTAGCTCACCATGCTATTACTTCACCATGCTATTAGCTCACCATGCTATATGCTCACCATGCTATTAGCTCACCATGCTATTAGCTCACCATGCTATTACCTCACCATGCTATTACCTCACCATGCTATTACCTCACCATGCTATTACCTCACCATGCTATTACCTCACCATGCTATTACTTCACCATGCTATTAGCTCACCATTTTGATGCTGTCTTAAAAATTGGACCAAATCGTCCATTTTGATGAACATATCCGCCGGAGCAAAAAAAACTCCTCTACATTATAAATAGAACCCAGACCTTCTCCTGTAACCTTGACCTGTAACCATGACTTGTAACCTGTAACTATGATCTGTAACCATGACCTATATCCATGATCAGTAAACTTGACCTTTAACCATGACCTGTAACCATGACCTGTAACCTTGACCTGTAACCTTGAACTGTAACCTTGACCTGTAACCCTGACCTGTAACCTGCACCTATAAGCTAACTCCTTGAATATAAAATAAAAGTATTCTTGGTGTCCGTTTATAATCGTCGAAATAAAAATAAAAATATAAATAAAAAAACACAAAGGGGAACTGTTTTTATTTGTGTTTTTAAAAGAAGAAAATATATCGGTTTTATTTGTCTATGTTTTCTGTTCTTTAAAAACACAGGAACGTTTTTTTATTTTAATTTATTTTTTAGAATAACGAAAACAAATCGTGATGTTTTTCTGTGTTTTTTAAAAGAATAATAAAAGGACTGGATGCCTTGTTTGTGTTTTATATATATGAAACACCTGATATGTCTGTTTGTATTTATCATTTTGTGTTTTTTAAAAGAACAAACACGGTAAAAATGTTTTTTCTTGTGCTTTTAGACTTATTAAAGTTGTAAGACCTGATCAAATAGCAGTGGGTGGGTGGGTGGGTGGGTGGGTGGGTGGGTAGGTGGGTGGGTGGGTGGAGTGGGTGGGTGGAGTGGAGTGGAGTGGTTGGGTGGAGTGGGTGGGTGGAGTGGGTGGGTGGGAGGGAGGGAGGAGGAGGGAATGTAGGATAGGAGTAGGAGTAGGTTAGGTGGGTAGGTAGGTGGGAAGGGAGGGCAGGGCGGGGCGGGGCAGGCCAGGGCAGGGCAGACAGAGGCAGGAGCAGGAGCAGGGGCAGAACCCAGGGCAAGAACTGGGCAGAGCAGGAGCAGAGCAGGCAGGAGCAGGGGCAGAACGGGGCAGGGCAGGAACCCTTAATAAGCCCAGGTATCAGTCTCTGGTATTGGTCATCAGTAAAGTTCCAGTGTTTAGTTCGATGCTATTTCAGATAATGGTAAATTTGTGGATAATAGCCAATGATGAGTATTGGTAAAACATCTCTCTCTCTCTCTCTCTCTCTCTCTCTCTCTCTCTCTCTCTCTCTCTCTCTCTTTCTTTCTTTCTTTCTCCAAAACTCTCTCTCTCTCGCCCTTGAAAACTCTCTTATCTCTATGCTTTTGTTTCTCTCTCTCTCTCTCTCTCTCTCTCTCTCTCTCTCTCTCTCTCTCTCTCTCTCTCTCTTAGTTTCACTCTTTTCTGCCATTCACTTTCTTACACACACACACACACACACACACACACACACACACACACACGTTGGTTCACAAAATTGAACTTAATAAATACCAAGAAACACCTGCATAAAAACCCAACGCTTCATTCCCAAGACAACTAAAATAACACAAGTCGAAAGACATTTGGTGGCGAGGCAGAGGCGAGGCGAGGCGAGGCGAGGAGCGAAGACAAAGGCAAGGCCATGTGCCCAGCAAAGTTTGGCCTCGAATTCTGGTGTGTGGCTCGCTAATGCAGGGATGGGGGTGGGGGTCAGGGAGGGATGGGGGTGAGAGACGGGGGTAGGGGTGAGGGAGGGGGTGGGGGTAGATGGGGAGTAGGGGTAGAGGAAGGGGTGGAGGAGGGGGTAGAGGAGGTGGTGGGAGGGGGAGGGGGGGAATGGAAGGGGGTTAGTCCTTGGCATAAAATCGCGTCTAACATCACACAAACTAACTTAGAACAACGTAATGTAACCTCATCTAACGCTATGTAATGAAATATAACGAAAGCCAATGAAGTTTAACGAAATCTAACGTGATAAAACGAAATATAGCGTAATAGAACGAAATCTAACGTAACCTAACCACAAAAATTAACAATAATAACATAAAATAATAAAATACGAAAATAATAAAACATAATGTCAACTGAAAAAACCTAACCTAACCTAACGCGTCGTACTGCTAGTGTTCAGTGACGTAAAATACGGGATATTGTTCAGGGAGAAAGAGTTAGATCACCCACCACTCCGAGATGCAGGTAGGCCAAGGGACGTCGAGAGAGAGAGAGAGAGAGAGAGGTCAGCCTGAGAACGTCTTGGGTCTGGTCCCCACATACGCAGCGTTCCTGGGTGGTGCCTGAGGCGTAATTGCGTACATGCCAGAGATCTTTCGCGAGAGAAGGCGACGATTGAGGCGAGAGAACTTTAATATAGGGAAGAGGAGGAGTTTAAATGTGTGTGTGTGTGTGTGTGTGTGTGTGTGTGTGTGTGTGTGAAATTGATCCCTTGACGATATCCTAAGAAAAGACTATGATAGATAGATAGATAGAGAGTTCTAGCCGCCGCCGCTGGCAGGATCAGACAGCGGATCGGTAAATTACGAGTTTCTTGAAAATCGTTTTAAAGTACACACAGGAGGTGGCGAGTCTTGGCATGGCTCCTTGCAACCACGCACACACACACACACACACACACACACACACACACACACACACACACACACTAGATGAAAACTTACAAAGAAATTATGAAAAAAAGTGTTCCTAGAGAGAGAGTACGATCCTCCACATCTCACATAACACCACCAAGCACCTCGAGGACACACAATATAAACAAAGTATTGCTGTAAGACTCACGTAGGATGTTTAAGGTGATATTGGTGGTGACAGTGACTCCTAGACCATTGTTAGCCTCACAGGTCACCGTCCGGGCGTTGTCCTCAGCCTCTAACCTCATCTTGACCTCTGACCTGGGGAACGGGTGAGAATAATGCTTTAAGTGGGTGAGGGATCATTGTGCAGAGAGAGAGAGAGAGAGAGAGAGAGAAATATGATAATTCAAAGATCACAGCAAGATCACACGCTCATACAGACACAACTCCAACTATCTAAATATTCACTGAATTTTCGAAAGTTGTCTGTTTATAACTTAAAGTGTGTGTGTGTGTCAATGTGTGTGTGTGTGTGTGTGTGTGTGTGTGTGTGTGTGTGTGTGTGTGTGTGTTGGTGATATTCCGTGGAGTTTATTCGTGAACAGACAGACAGACAGACAGACAGACAGACAGACAGACAGATGAACGGAGGTAAGTTCCGCAAGAAGGAAGAAATACAGTTCAAACAGCACACACACCGTCGTCTAACTTCACCCGTAAAGGATTTCTCTTTGTCCAGGTGTGTGACGCGGCAACCACCTCCCCACACACACACACGCTGCCTACTTTGTATTTACAACTTAATAGGACAAAAAAATCTCAAAAAAAAAGTAAAAAGAGAAGGATTTTTTTTTATTAAAGATTTCTTGAGGAGCAAAGGAGGAGAAAACGATGATCTATAGAACAAAGAACAAAATAGTGTATCATTAATCTCATATAATTCTTAATACAGTTGTTCTCTAAAATAGTTCTTCACTAAAACACCAATGTTCTTTATAATAGTTGTTCTCTAAAAATCTTTACAGGAGAGCGAGGAAATGAGAGACCTAAGCTACCCCCTTGCTGTTCACTCAACCTTGTTAGTTATGTCTTATACTGAGAGAGATAAAAAACAAAACATATATATACAATTTTCCTCGTGTGTGTGTGTGTGTGTGTGTGTGTGTGTGTGTGTGTGTGTGTGTGTGTGTGTGTGTGTGTGTGAGTGTGTGTGTGTGTGTGTGTGTGTGTGTGTGTGTGTGTGTGTGTGTGTGTGTGTGGTGAGTGAGGTGTGTGTGTGTGTGTGGTGAGTGAGTGTGTGTGTGTGTGTGTGTGTGTGTGTGTGTGTGTGTGTGTGTGTGTGTGTGTGTGTGTGTGTGTGTGTGTGAGTGAGTGTGTGCGTGTGTAAGACCCTGGAGAAGCGAGATACATTTTCAATAAAAGAATTCCGAGGTTTGTACATTTACATTCGACAGCTGCGTCTGACTCTGTGGGGGATGGTTGTTCCCCGCCTCCCTCCTTCAGACAAATATGACCTAAAATACCACCCATTTATTGTTACATATCTGACCTGTTATCGTTCTTAAATTATTATTATATGAAGTAATAACACCATAATAACAAGAATATCTCAAAAATCATAAATAAAATAATTGCTACAGGTTGAGACACTATTTAAACTAGAATCATTTAATCCGTGTCATCCATAACCTAACCTAACCCTCGACACAGGTATATTCATCCTTACATATGTATGAAACAATAGCTCAGATTTTTTTTACTTGATATTAATATAAAAATAATTCAATACAGTATTTTGTTTATTTTCATGTTGGATAATTTTAATTTTAGGTCAGTTTACTTTTTTTTTTCTTACCTGGGATATAATTTGGTGGAGGTTAATGCATAGTTAGAGGTGTATTGTGTGGCCAGAGAGAGGCAGGACCCGCAACCCAGCATTACTACACTGATTAGAGGTGTGTGTGTGTGTGTGTGTGTGTGTGTGTGTGTGTGAACTGTACACACTGAACACTTGGGTGTGAATGTATTAAGAGTAATATTAAGACATCACCAATTGTCTATTTTTAAGTCGTTTGGTCTTGTTAATGTCTTCTTTTATTTACCTCAATATGTCACAACATACATCTATTCACCGTCACATATTTACTTACACTTAATATATTTATGTGTTAACATTTCCCCCGGGACAACACAACACCAAACATGGTGATTGTTCCTGGCTGGTGACTGAGGAGCGACACAGTCTCCCCCTCAACAATTATTCTCACACTGTTTACACTCACTATTCTTCCTCGGTTAACAAAGCCCAAGTTTTTCTTCAACTACAAACACACAGACAATCAGACGGTGCTGTCAGCGATTTCCTTCAACATATTTTTCAGGTCAATTTGAAAGTCAACACATGGAAACACTTTACCAATGTGATAAAACTGCTACTTACTATATTATATATATATATATATATATATATATATATATATATATATATATATATATATATATATATATATATATATATATATATATATATATATATATATATATTTCATGTAATCACAATGAAAACGTGGATAAGATAAATCTTGATAAAATCACACAGGAAAAGAAACAACAGAGAACAGGTGCTCTGTTGTTTCAATATATATATATATATATATATATATATATATATATATATATATATATATATATATATATATATATATATATATATATATATATACAAAGTAAAAATATTAAAACAGGCTGGAGAAAAGTTTTAACAGCAAAGTGTTGTTAAAATGAATAACAAAATAAATATTGATTTTTTAACAATAAAAATTATTTTTTTTACAAATTGTTTGATTTTTTATAAAGAAACTCTGTGATGACTTATGTGTTTGTGTCACTACCTTCTGAGTTGACCCACCTGGTGATGGTGCCACGGAAGAGCCCCGGGGAGTGCCTGACGGAGGGGTCGTCCAGAGTATGAGGGCCAGAGTGCCAGGTGACGGTGGAGGGTGGCACGCTTGATGACGTCTCACAGGTCAACTTGGCCACTTGGCCAGCCTCCACACTCTCGGGGGTCATGGCGCCCACCACCTCCCACGCCGGGACTGTGGGAGACAACCAGGTGATGAGTGGGGGAGTGGGGTGAGTGGGAGATGGTGGGGTGAGTGGGAGATGGTGGGGTGAGTGGGAGATGGAGAATACACTTAACTGACTGACTGATTGATTCCCTGAGAGAACTTTTCCCCCTCGAAATATCCGCATCATTTCGTGTGCTGTTTCTGGGCGTATGATTAGGTTAGGTTAGGTTAGGTTAGGTTAGGTTAGGTTAGGTTAGGCTAGGTTAGGTTAGGTTAGGTTAAAGTATATAGTACCCAACATTTCTATACTAATATAATCAGCTCTTAGTTACCTGTAATTACACAACATTACCTTCTCAACCCTTTCAAGAACGATGATTTAACCCCTCGAGAATTAGACCATAAACTGTCACCCTTAATAAGAGTTATAACTTAAACCCTCGTCCTCAAGGGGTTACATCACATTATTAGTTATTTTATGGTTTTCCCGAGGCCTTGTTCAACTGAGGCAATTACAGGTTAATGTGTTATGATTAGTTAATGTTAAGTAATTAGTGTGGAGATGAAAGTCGAATTATATAGATCTACTAAGAATAAAGGAATTGTTTCCCTTTATGGTAGTTTAAGAATTAAGATAAATCATTATATATATATATTATTAACTATCGTGGTGTCTAATTCTTGTTCCTGTCTCTACTGTGTGTGCTAGGTGTCTGTCTGTATCACTGTCTCTGTCTCTCTTCTCTGTCTGTCTGTCTCACTGTGTCTCTGTCTGTCTGTCTGTCTCACTGTCTCTTTCTCTCTCCTCTGTTTGTCTGTGTCTCGCTATATGTCTGTCTGTCTGTCTGTCTCACTGTGTCTCTGTCTGTCTGTCTGTCTCACTGTCTCTTTCTCTCTCCTCTGTTTGTCTGTGTCTCGCTATATGTCTTTCTTTTGTCTGTCTGTATGTCTCTCTGCCTGTCTCTCTGTCTCCTCCTCTCTCTCCTCTGTTTGTCTGTGTCTCGCTATATGTCTCTCCCCCCTGTCTCTTCTCTCCTCTGTTTGTCTGTGTCTCGCTATATGTCTTTCTTTTGTCTGTCTGTATGTCTCTCTGTCCTACTATGTCTCCCTTTCTGTCTGGCCAGTCTTGTGCCTACACTGGCTTTTGTTTTTATGGGCAGAAACATCAGAGTATCAGAGCGAAACAAAAGAGCATCAACAGTATCAGAGCGAAACAAAAGAGCATCAACAGTATCAGAGCGAAACAAAAGAGCATCAACAGTATCAGAGCGAAACAAAAGAGCATCAACAGTATCAGAGCGAAACAAAAGAGCATCAACAGTATCAGGCAAACAAAAGAGCATCAACAAGAGGGAATCCGACACCACTCGTCTGATCAAGTTCCCCCTTGTTTGAGTGCATTATGAGGTACCAAGTTACCAACATTCCATTTACCTCAAAACAACGGGGAATAAACTTAGGTGAGAGAGAGGAGGAGGGGTAGGAAGATGAGGAAAAGGCGGGATTAGTCAAAGAAGAATGGAGGAGGAGGAGGAAGACAAAGAAAACGAGGAGGAAGAGGAGGAGGAATAGGGTGTTGGAGTCCGGTGGATTAAAAGAGGATAACAGAGAACACTCATGGTAAGATAACACATCATAACACTCACCATAACACACCATAACACTCACCATAACACATCATAACACTCACCATAACACACCATAACACTCACGATAACACACCCACACTCACGATAACACACCATAACACTCACGATAACACACCATAACACCCACGATAACACACCATAACACTCACCATAACACACCATAACACTCACCATAACACACCATAACAATCACGATAACACACCATAACACTTACTATAACACACCATAACACTCACGATAACACACACCATAACACCCACCATAACACACCATAACAACAATCACGATAACACACCATAACACCCACCATAACACACCATAACACTCACGATAACACACCATAACACTCACCATAACACACCATAACACCACCATAACACACCATAACACCTACGATAACACACCAACACTCACGATAACACACCAACACCACCATAACACACCATAACACTCACGATAACACACCATAACACACACCATAACACACCATAACACTCACCATAACACACCATAACACTCACGATAACACACCATAACACTCACGATAACACACCATAACACTAAGATAACACACCATAACACTCACGATAACACACCATAACACCATAACACACCATAACACTCACGATAACATACCATAACACTAAGATAACACACCATAACACTCACCAACACACCATAAGACTCACGATAACACACCATAACACCCACGATAACACACCATAACACTCACGATAACACACCATAACACTCACCATAACACACCATAACACTACGATAACATACCATAACACTAAGATAACACACCATAACACTCACGATAACAAATCATAACACCCACGATAACACACCATAACACTCACCATACACCATAACACTCACCATAACACACCATAAGACTCACGATAACACACCATAACACTCACGATAACACACCATAACACTCACGATAACACCATAACACTCACCATAACACACCATAACACTCACGATAACATACCATAACACTAAGATAACACACCATAACACCCACGATAACAAATCATAACACCACGATAACACACCATAACACTCACGATAACACACCATAACACTCACGATAACAAATCATAACACCACGATAACACACCATAACACTCATGATAACAAATCATAACACTCACGATAACACACCATAACACCACGATAACATACCATAACACTAAGATAACACACCATAACACTCACCATAACACACCATAAGACTCACGATAACACACCATAACACTCACGATAACACACCATAACACCACGATAACACACCATAACACTCACGATAACACACCATGACACTCACGATAACACACCATAACACTCACGATAACACACCATAACACTCACGATAACACACCATAACACTCACCATAACACACCATAACACTCACCATAACACACCATAACACTCACCATAACACATACCATAACACTCACGATAACACACCATAACACTCACCATAACACACCATAACACACCATAACACTCACCATAACACACCATCAACACTCACCATAACACACCATAACACTCACCATAACACACCATAACACTCACCATAACACAACCATAACACTCACGATAACATACCATAACACTCACGATAACACACCATAACACTCCCACCATAACACACCATAACACTCACCATAACACACCATAACACTCACGATAACACACCATAACACTCACGAGAACACACCATAATACTCACCATAACACACTATAACACTCACGATAACACACCATAACACTCACCATAACACACCATAACACTCACGATAACACACCATAACACTCACGATAACACCATCAACACTCACGATAACACACCATAACACTACGATAACACACCATAACACCCACGATACCACCATAACACTCACGATAACACACCATAACACTCACCATAACACACCATAACACCCACCATAACACACCATAACACCCACGATAACACACCATAACACCTCACGATAACACACCATAACACTCACGATAACACACCATAACACTCACGATAACACACCATAACACCCACGATAACACACCATACCACGATAACACACCATAACACTCACCATAACACACCATAACACCTACGATAACACACCATAACACCTCACGATAACACACCATAACACTCACGATAACACAACACCTACGATAACACACCATAACACTCACGATAACACACCATAACACTAAGATAACACACCATAACACTCACGATAACACATCATAACACTCACGATAACACACCATAACACTCACGATAACACATCATAACACCTCACGATAACACACCATAACACTCACGATAACACACCACACTCCACCATAACACACCATACCAAGATAACACACCATAACACCACGATAACACATCATAACACTCACGATAACACACCATAACACTCACGATAACACATCATAACACTCACGATAACACTATAACACTCACCATAACACATCATAACACCACGTAAGATAACACACAATAAGATAACAGAGCCATGACTTACAGATGATAGTGAGGTGGTGTTGGCGGTGGTGGAGGAGGAGGCGGGGTTGATCACTTCACACCGCACCACGCCACCGTTATCTGCAGGTACCACCCTGACGGAGGCCCGGCGAGGCTCACGTCCCCCGGGTCTGTGTCTCTGCAATAAGCCTCTCTCTTGTACAGCCTACAGCAGGGGTGGGGGAGGGTTATAGTCTGCAGTGTTGTTTATGACCTTCTTGTTTTGCTTCTCCCCACTATTTCCATTGTTGTTATTGTCTCTCGTGTTAGCACTGTTTACCTTCACCTTTCACTTCAACCTTTATTAACTATTATGTAACCAATATATATTAATTATCTTTACATATGTATTTATGGTGTGTGTGTGTGTGTGTGTGTGTGTGTGTGTGTGTGTGTTATGAAGCTGTCAGTTCCAGTTTAAACTTTACCTGAACTGAGGTGGAGGATGACCGCCTTACTAGTACAGGTGACCAGCTCCTGCCGGCCACTATCTGACCCTGTGTGACCACCTCGACCACCAGGAGTCCTAGTCCTGTGGGAGTAAAGGAACTGTCTTAAGGATACTTACACTCACTCACCACATCCTACACTGTTGTCGCTTCCAAGAGGATTTACTAATCAGTCAAGTTCTGTATTGTGAAGATATGAGAAATATTTAGGTCAATTTACTATTATACGAAAACAAAATAAAAAGTGTAAACAACTCACTTATGATGGTGACGTCACGGGTGTGTGAGATAGGGTCGCCGGCCTCCAGATGGTGAGCCTCACACTTACCGTCGTCTCTCTCGTCTGTCCTGACCTCGTGGCTTCCTGGGTTAATTGGGAGGAGGTTATCCAGCCTCCTCCGTCATCCCGTTACCTCCGTGGACGTGGTGTTTACTGGAGTACCTGTAGAGGCGTACTATTAACCCCTTGAGGACTATTATTGATCCCTGAGTACGATGACTTAACTCCTGATTACGACGACTTAACCCTCTGAGTACGATGATTTAACCCTTACATGATGATTTAACCCTACATGACGACTTAATAAGAAGTTAAAACTCACCGTACTTCTATAATAATCATCACACACAAGGGTAAAGTTATCGTACTCAATGGGTTATGTAGGGTGTGGGCATGTCTCTGTATGTCAGATAAAATCTTACCTTACCTAAAACAAGGTCACGTACCGTCCACTGTCCAGGTGATGGTGGCGGGTGGGTTGGCGGGGGTGGCACACAGGTGAGGAAGGCTGTCCTGCCGCCACCACTGCCGTTCCACTCACACGCACCTGAGTTGGAGCGTCTGTACGTACGATAGTGTTAAATCAGGGTTATATTGACAAGATCTTGGACTTATAGGTGTGTGTGTGGGTGGGTGGGTGTGTGGGGTGTGTGGGTGGGTGTGGGTGGGTGTGTGGGTGTGTGTGGGTGTGTGGTGGGTGTGTGGGGGTGTGTGTGTGTGTGGGGGTGTGTGTGTGTGTGGGGGTGTGTGTGTGGGGGTGGGGGTGTGTGTGTGGGTGTGTGTGTGGGGTGGGTGGGTGTGGGTGTGTGTGTGTGTGTGTGTGTGTGTGGGGGTGTGTGTGTGTGTGGGTGTGTGGGGGTGTGTGTGTGGGGGGTGTGTGTGTGTGGGTGGGTGGGTGGGTGTGTGTGGTGGGTGGGTGTGTGTGGGGGTGTGTGTGTGTGTGTGTGTGTGTGTGTGGGTGGGTGTGTGAGTGTGTTAATACACCTCTTACTGTACTGTATGCTCACAATAAACATGCAGTGGTGTATGTCAGCATGTAATCACAATGACGTGACCACAATACTGCAGTCGAATACAACATAACTTAAATGAAACATGGAATTCATGATAGTTTAACCTTTGAGGTTGATGGTTGAACACCTTGAGGTTGATGGTTTAACACCTTTGAGGTTGATGGTTTAACACCTTGTGGTTGATGGTTTAACACCTTTGGAGGTTGATGGTTAACACCTTTGAGGTTGATGGTTTAACACCTTTGAGGTTGATGGTTTAACACCTTGAGGTTGATGGTTTAACACCTTGAGGTTGATGGTTTAACACCTTGAGGTTGATGGTTTAACACCTTTGAGGTTGATGATTTAACACCTGAGGATGATGGTTTAAACCTTTGAGGTTGATGGTTTAACACCTTTAGGATGATAGTTTAAACCCCTTTAAGGTTGATGATTTATCACCTTGAGGATGATGGTTTAACACCTTTGAGGTTGATGGTTTAACACCTTTGAGGTTGATGATTTAACACCTTTGAGGATGATGGTTTAAACCTTTTGAGGTTGATGGTTTAACCCTCGTCCACCTGTATTAAAGGTTTTATTTCAAATGTATTGCCCTAAAATCTCATCTCTAAGGTGTTGGCCTAAAACGTATTTGTCACTTTTACAATGCTTTCATTATCAAATCTATCGACTTAAACAGTTTTGCCCTAAAATTTATCGACTCTTAAAGCTGTTTGTTCTAAAATCATAGATCCTTTTAAAGTGCCGTGTCGAGAGAACAACACATTTTCTGTGTCGTGATTTTGACACGGCACTAAAGGAAACTTTTGGCCAGAACTGTCAACACACTTTTCGCGCTCGTTAACTGGTGACAAAGACCGAACAAATTGGGTGGGTAGAGAGAGAGAGAGAGAGAGAGAGAGAGAGAGAGAGAGAGAGAGAGAGAGAGAGAGAGAGAGAGAAAAAAAAATGTTCGTGTCTCGTGAGAAGTAGAACAATGTTGAGGCGACAACATCAGTGAGGGTGGGTCAGTGTTGTGGGCTGAGGCCGAATTAGTGGTGTATTGTATCGATAATCGCCTGGTTCCTCGAGTGCTCTTAGCTATTTCTGTTTAGTGACTCTCTAAAAAACAAATCCCATTTACACCTGCACACACGGTTGAGATGACAGTAGCTGTAAAAAATGTACAACAGTAATCAATACACATACTGAGGTGTGGAGAGTTTTAGGTCACGTAATACAGTGAACACTCAAGAATGAACTTACAGTGAACAGGAGGGTGACGTTAGTGGAGAGAAGGCGGAAGGAGGTCACTGGACACCCTACACTCTGCTACACAGCGCCGTCCTCAGTGCGGAGGCTGTCACTTGCTGACCACAGTCACCACGCGGCTCTTCTTGTTGTTCCTGGGCGACGCTTTGGCCTTGAGGCACACGCCTTCCTGGTCTTGCCCTTGACGGTGTGGTTTTGGGGGTGACCGTGCCAGTACCAGGTGACCCAGGGGTGAGGGTTGCTCCCACTACCCTGCAGGTGAGGGCACGACGCTCCTCGCCCGGAGTACCTCACCTGTCTTGTAGCCGTGGATCATGGGTCTACCTGCGGTCTGTGGTAGAGAGAGGGTGTTAATGATGTACAGGTGATGATCTATACTAATAATACGTCGTAGGTGTAGTAGTGTAGTGCAGCAATGAGTAGACTGGGGTGTAGTGCAACTGGGTGTAGTAGTACTGGGGTGTAGCAGTACTGGGGTGTAAGCACGGGGTGTAGAGTACTGGGGTGTAGTAGCACTGGGGTGTAGTGCAGCACAGGTGGTGTAGTGCAGTACAGTACTGGGGTGTAGTGTAGTACTGGGGGTAAGTACTGGGGTGTGTAGCACTGGGGTGGTGCAGCATGGGGTGTGTGCAGCACTGGGTGTAGTGTAGCACTGGGGGTGTAGTGTAGTACTGGGTGTAGTAGCACTGGGGTGTAGTGCAGCACTGGGGTGTAGTGCAGTACTGGGGTGTGGCACTGGGTGTAGCACTGGGGGTGCAGCACAGGGGTGAGTGCAGCACTGGGGGTGAGTGTAGCACTGGGGTGTAGTGTAGCACTGGGGGTGTAGTGCAGCACTGGGGGGGTAGTGCAGCTGGGGTGTAGTGCAGCACTGGGGTGCAGCAGCACTGGGGTGCAGTGCAGCACTGGGGTGTGCAGCACTGGGGGTGTAGTGCAGCACTGGGGCAGCAGGGGGTGCAGCAGCACTGGGTGTAGTGCAGCACTGGGGTGTAGTGCAGCACTGGGGCAGTGTAGCACTGGGGTGTAGCAGCACTGGGGTGCAGTGCAGCACTGGGGTGTAGTGTAGCACTGGGGTGCAGGTAGTACTGGGGTGTAGTGCAGTACTGGGGGTGTAGTGTAGTACTGGGGTGTAGTGCACTGGGGGTGTAGTGCAGCACTGGGGGTGTAGTGCAGCACTGGGGGTGTAGTAGTACTGGGGGTGAAAAGCAGTACTGGGGGTAGTAGTACTGGGGTAGTAGTACTGGGGGTGTAGTGTAGTACTGGGGTGTAGTGCAGCACTGGGGGTGTAGTGCAGCACTGAGGGTGTAGTAGCACAGTGTAGTACTGGGGGTGTAGTAGTACTGGGGTGTAGTAGTACTGGGGTGTAGTGCAGTACTGAGGGTGTAGTGCAGTACTGGGGTGTAGTGCAGCACTGGGGTGTAGTGTAGTACTGGGGTGTAGTGTAGCACTGGGGGTGTAGTGCAGTACTGGGGTGTAGTAGTACTGGGGTGTAGTGCAGTACTGGGGTGTAGTGCAGTACTGGGGTAGTGTAGTACTGGGGTGTAGTGCAGCACTGGGGGTGTAGTGTAGTACTGGGGTGTAGTGCAGTACTGGGGTGGGGAGGGGGCCTAAACATAAACATGACAGCCAATGCCAAAATACAATAAAATAATATTAATATAATTCTTTTGAGACAAACCATAACGCAACTCTTTCTTACATCATAGTTACTGTATTTTATCTTGTGTAACTAACTCGAGAGCAAATACGTAACCGAACGGAAGCACAATTGA